AGGCTACGCAACGTCGGTCTGTCAGCGGCAGCGCGCCTGCCACAAACAGCCGTGACTGCGGACTTCTTGAGCGAGCGCAGCACCCTGATGCAAGAGGCATACCTGACCTTCCCCAGGAAGTGCATCTGTTTCCCGAGTTTGCACAATCTCCTGCACAGATGCAACCGGATTCGTGACCCGGCAGAAGGCCACCGCAGATCCTCGGGGAGGCCGGTGAGGCTTCGCGGCTTCGACCTTGAGAGAAACCGAAACGAGTGCAGACATGGCAAGCGTACAGATTACACAGCGTAAAAGCCTGCCGCATCACAGCTAAGACAGGCGCATCCCTCGCGCAATGGCAAGGGTTGAGCAAAACTCGAGTAGCACCTGCACAAGCGACAACTGTTCAGGCATGGTATGTGGTGACGATTCAGTGTTGCTCGTGCTCATCCAGTCATGCTGAAAGAGATGGATGAAGTGTCGCGGCAAGCATCATCCTCTATACAAGCCCCCCTGTGGGTTGCTGCTGATCTGCTATGATCTGCTTGTCGGCTAGAAGATCGGAGCACGCAGGGAGCAGGCAGGCCAGGTGCACCGGGTGAGGCAAAACGGAAGCCTGGGAAAAACTCGGCCAACTCACTCAAACCAGGAGGAGCTTTAACACCGGGCGAAGCGTGCCCGCCTTGCCATTCAGCCCAAGCAACCCATTTAACAGGGGGGTGTGAGTTTCCCTGCCCGTATGCGAATTGCAAAACAGGTGGCTGCTAAAGCAGCTTGTGTCCAATGATGGTTATTGGAATCCGCAGATCCTTATCTTGCAGAGACGCCACCCACGGCAGACAAAAGGACAAGCTCAAGTGATCGTCACGTGTCTCTGCATGCGCGTGCGCAGATGCAACTTCACATGCCAAGGCTTGAGGAAGCTGTAGCAGCGGGCACCTCCACAACTGCACCTGTGTCCCATGAACAGCATGAAATGCAGAGCTGTTTACATGAAATACACTTCTGGTGTATGCAGAGGTGCTGCAAGCAGTAACGGACAGACACACAGAGCTCCACAGCAGCTTTGGGCATTGCTGGGTACCCAGGCTACGTTGTAGGAAGCGGTAGAGCGGCAGCAAGTGGCGGAGAGACTGGCCCGGGCCCTCGCCGTGCAGTCGGGCCCTGCACAACACAGACTGCGTTTCTCTGGGCACAACGGAAAAACTAGCCAGTGATAGCCAGAATGCAAGGCTCCTCAACCCTCCTCCTCTCATTGCATGCAGGAAGTATGCTCGCTGCGCCCAAGGCCTGGAAGGCCACTTGAGAGGGCAAGCGTCTAGCACTAGGCACGTTCCTCAGACTGAGCCTAGGGCGCAAATGCGCATGCCACCTGCAACCGTGACGTGCAAGCTTCTCTAGACTTCTGCAGCTGCGGAACTGCTGCGGATCTGAACATCATGCCTCAACAAGGACAGCATATCGCCAGTTGCCCGAGAGAGCTCCAGGCCTGCAGCCACACAGGCACATATGCCAGGCGTGTTTGCGGAAACCGAAGCTCAGATGACGTCTAGGCACCTCGTCAGAAGCCTCGGCAATGCATCAACTTCTACTTGCTGAAGCTAGAAATTGGCAGATCACCTGCTCACGAGCGCACCTGTGTGCCCATTTCACGAGGTGCTTCAAGCGGCGAGTTGTGGGAATGGGTGGAAAACTCCCAGCCTCAACAGCGCACTTTGCCCTTTCATCCCTTTCGCTGGCTCAGGGCGGAAGCCACCCAAAACACCCGCAAGGGCTCCGGCAATAGCAGCCTGAGTGGCTGAACAGGCCCCAAAAAAAAGCTTTCGACAACCTCGACCTATGAACTCTATAGTGTTTCTCCTTCCTCTCAACACTTCTGCATGATTCCTCGCCATTGTAATGGACAACCTCTATATTTTTCTAGGAAAATCGACTTTCTTCTTTGCATTGAGTAGGAAACCTATTCGCAAGGCTTCGTCTGTGTGTTTTGCGAAAGCGCTGCTCTTCATGGCATATCTTCCCGGTAAAGCAAGCTCTAAAATCCAATGAAGACTGCGCCTCCGGAATGAAAAAAGATATGTTTTCAACCGGGCATTAATTACTCCGCTAGCCTAGTGAAAACGACACTTCTTGGCCCTCCGCTACTCCGCAGGAGTCACGTATAGCCGCATGTTAAAACAAAACTTAACTCGAAACTTTCGGCCCGGAGTAGCGCATAGCTGCATGTTAAACAAGAGGCCCCGGTAGCTCGAAACTTTCGGCCCAGGGATCTAAATTATTTACTGAGATCGTCTCCACCCTGCAGATACCCGATGTGGCAGCTATCGTGTCGTTTGCGGAGGTAGTTGTACGGATACTTCACCACAGTTCTGTCGCAGGTCTCTGCAGGGGGGGGGGGGGGGGGCACTCCAGGGGGGGAACCCGAAGGCAAAAGAAGAGGGTTTGGAGGCGGGGGGGGGGGGGGGGGGGGGGGGGGGGGGGCGCAGCCCCACCCCTCCATTTGCAAGCAAGATGCTCATGACAGGTTTGGAAAGGATCCGTATGTGATTTGACGCCAGCATTCTTCATGGCACGATCGTCTTGAAAAAGCAGGCTTGCACAGCTTAAGAACTCATTAAAAGGCGGGGCTTGCCGGGGCCTTGCCGGAGGCTTGCCGGGGGCTTGGTGGGGCAGCCACCCATTTGCAAACACAATGCTGGCATGACGAGTTGACATGGATTCGTACGTGTTTGAACGCAAGTGCCCTTCATGGCATATGGCGTGATCATGCAAGCTTGCACGGCTTACAAGCCAAATAAAGGCGGGGCTGGATGTGCAGCCCCTCCCCCCCCCATTTGCAAAAAGCAACGCGATGGGTTTGGAAAGGGTTCGTATGTTTTGCACGCACATCCTCTTCATGGCATGAACTTTTTTACGAAGCAAGCTTGCACGGAACATAAAAAGGCGCGGGGGGTGTTGGGGTGAGTGGATGCAGTCCCACACAATCCTTGCACGACAGGCTTGGCAAGCTTTAACAATGCTATGTAAAAAAGCAGGGGGGGGGTGGGAAGAAAGGGGCGCAACCCTTTCTTCCTCTCGTTCGTTCTCTATTTCTTACATTATTTGATTTCAGCCGCTGATTTCAGCCGCTATCTCTTTGTTTTCCCACGCACGCTTCTGTGTTGTTGTATTTGCTTTCCTGTATCTATTTCTGAATATCGCATTTTTTCTGTATGTATTTTATTCTGTCTTTGTTTCTTTCTTTACTTCTTCATTTCTTCTTCCGTGCTCTCATTCCACCCTTCTGCCTGCATACCAAGAAGAAGGACCAAAACCAAAAGCAAATCACCAAAATGATACCACAATGAAGGGTAGAGTGAAACAGCGGTCTCCACATGCGCCCAGAGTCGCAGCTGAGGTGTTTGGCAAGCCAAGTGGCTCTGCAGGAAGCAAACAGTGCCAGGCAACTGGAGCTGTGTTGCGGCCGAAGGGCTAAAGCTGTGGCACCCAAGTCATCCGGCCTCGCGATGCCCTGTCGCCGACTCTCTCGTTCGCCTTCCAACAAGTTAACTCTGTGAGTACGTTCGGTAAGTAAACCACTCCATCTTCCCTGCGAGTATGAGTACTCCTACCATAGCTTTGTCCATGCTCTATGCGTTGGCTCCTCTGCGAGCACAACCAGCCCCAGGAGCAGGGAAGCTGCATTTGAAAACGACAAAGCCGAACACCTGGCACTTCCCAACATCAGCTCAGGCACTACGCTGCCGCGCCCAGTGCCTTGCAACAGGATCGGCCATGCATTTCCAAAGCATTCAGACCTTGGGCCGTGCTCTGCTATGGGCAACCGAGGCGCGCCCCTCCCATTGCTCCAAGGGCGCTGGCAACAGCAACCTGAGTCATCGCAAAACTTTGCAGGTGTTTCGCTAACGCCCCCCCAAGTGATCGCACTGTGCTTTGGTGCCTTCAGGGGTCCAAGGCCAAGAAGAGGTATCGCCACCTGTGAGGCTGCAGAGGCATTGGCATGGGACGGCATTGGCACTGAACACAGCAGAGTTCAACCGTGGCGTGGCTGGGGGCCGAGGCTAAGCCGACGTAGCCCACAGATCCGACAACCGCGCAGCCGATCCTTGTGGCTTCTGGTGGCGGTGTCGACGTGCGTAGAAGACGCTGCATGATATGGTACGAACAACCAGCATCGCAACCTGAATATATCCACGGCAGCTGTAGGCCCGGGACAAACCACAGGCTGCCTGATGGATGCGAGCATCCTGCGAGAGATGGCGTGCCTCAGCCCGCGGCAAACTGCCTGTGTAAGCGCCCCACCAGCGCGGCAGAGGCACGGCATGCCCGATAAATTCGGTCGAAGTGTAAGCGGCCGGCAAAGTCCTCCTCGAAGCTTCGGAGAACCTCCCGGGCCATGGCGGCCTCCTGTCCCAGGCCATCCTGGGTCAGTGGCTCATTGCACTTGACTGCTTACCCATACCCAACAAAGCAACAGTCCTCAGTCAGTACTGCAAGGAAGTGTCAACCCTTTTTCCAACTGGGGCAAAGGCAAGGTGATGCGATTCATATGTTCCTCCTACTCAAATCCGCCTCGAACTTACATCGAAGCTATATGCCGTGGAACCTGGCACTGGCTTGCCAAGGCTCCGGAATTCGCGGAGCAAAGACGATCGCCATGGCTAAGTGCACACAGGCGAGTCTCGGGTCTCGTGCCACTGTGGCAGGACTCCTTACAATACTCCTTACAATGCTTTTCCGTGCTTCTACATGCTTCGACATGCTTCTACCTGCTTCTACATGCTGCTATGAAAGTGCGGCAATGTGCCCAAGCTCTATGACTTTTTATGACGTGATGCCCTCCTATACCCTCCAAGCGTCCACATGATCTTTTTGAGGTATCTGTGAGCAGCTTTGGCTGGTACGGCAGGGTATGGCAGCACGCTCCCCACACTGACAAAGCAGCAGCACATCAGGGCAGCCGCTTACTGCAGCTAAAGCCAGTGTGCAAGTGCACAAAACAAAGCCGGGATGTGGCTCTCCTGCTGAATCAGCCGATATCGGCTGCATCATGATCCTGAGCATGCCAACAGTCTCGTGACAGAGACGACGATTGTCTTCAAGAACCCTAAACTGCTAAGATGCATTCATTATGCGGAGTTATGCGGAGTTGCAGTCAAAGGTCTTGCAGTGACCGTCTGCTTCGGTGGCAATTTCCCAGGATGATGGGGCTTCTACCTGGCAGGTTTCTTCACGCGATGGCAGTGGGTGAAAGGGCAAGTCGCTGGGCCACGTGCGAACGCCAGGGTAAGGAGCTGCACCCCGTTTCATCCGCTTACATGTCGGCACGCCTCCTAGAGTCTGCGCCTTTGGCGCTGAGGTGCTCTCTTCCGCACGCAGAAGTCTAGCGGCTTGCTCGACGCTGCCACTGCAAAGTCCTCTAGCAGATAAACAAAAAACATGAACTCAGTCCCTGTAGAACCAGTGCATCTGGTCTGCAGACCGCTAACATCATTGTCAATAGCTGATTGTAAGCCTAACTTCAGTGAGACGAACCCATGCAGCACCAGAATTCGGTACTCTTGCTCACGGTATGCCTTTGTCAGAAAACTGGATTCCAAGGACCATATCTTCCACCTGACAACACCACCAAAAGGTGGCAGGAAAGATCACATCTCGCCTCGCTTCAGGCCTTGCTGCTGAAATTTCGGCATAAACGGTTCCGAGGCTGACTTCGCAATCAGCGGCTTTCTCTCAACACGAAGTCGCCTAGCCAATGGCTCACGGTCGGAATCCGTTCAACGAGTGAAAACAGAATGCCCCATGCCACGTCTCAGCTTCCTGCCATGTCGGTTCCTTCTCGTGGCTGCCGTCCTCCACATCCTTTGGCTGAAAAACGCTGGGGAAAGGCTCAAGTCCTGAGACAACCTCGACCAAAGTAAACAGCACCTTCCAGCGATCGAAGTAGCTTCGCATGTTGACCTGGCAGGGCATCCCATCTCGGTGGAGCATGCCGGAACGAGTTACGCTGCTGCCGCCTGCAGGCGGTCATTGTCCCTGGAGAAGAGCACCTGTCAAGAGCAGCTTCGAGGTGTGACGTAAGGCATGTGCGGATTCGTGAGCATGAGCAGAAGATTTTTTGAGGGGCGGGGAACCCGGAAGTGAATGCACATGTCCACCCTGAGATGTGTCATACGTGCAGCCTCACGGTTGGAGTCTGCCACCTAAATCCCTAAACCCAACTGCGTCGAACACCCCTGTCTTCGTGTTTTTTCGGCAGAGAGTCGTGCTTTGTGACCAGTTGCGGCGTACTGCTTGCCCTTCCGGCTTGTGAGATTTCATTGTTTCTACAAGTAATTTCTTGGTTGGTCTCTGCAGCATCTAACTTCACTAGCAAGGCCTGCAATGAGGCCGCGAGCTCTGATGCCAACGGGCAGGCAGCAAAGTGACGATATGCCGCAGCTTTGGGGGGATTTGGGGGGGTGGAAGGCATCTTGAAGTCTTGCAAGGACACGGGCAGAGGCTCAGGCCGTGTGCTTCCGATCCCATCCGGACTCTCGCTTCCTCACACGGATGCCATGTTTGGCGTTCTGGTATCTAAACCCTTTTCTTTTCGACCCCAACCCGAACAAAAATGCAAGGCTCCACTGGAACCGGTTTAGGAGACTCAGCGTGTTCATGGCCAAAAAGACGCGAATAGCAGAGTGGCGGAGTAAGCGAAGCAAGCAGACAAGTCGCCCCTGATGTTCTTTTGTCTCTGCCGGTGTGGAATTCTGTTTGAAGGTGGGCGATGAGACGAGCTGAATGTCATGGTGAAACTGCAGGAGTGAAACTTCTCCGCCACATCCTCTCACTTCCCTGCCCCTGGGATTGACAACAGCTCTGCTTGGCAAAAGTGTAGAATACCCTAAACCCTAAACCCTAAACCCTTAACCATGCTGCCTGCCGAGCCGCTCTTGCGTTCCAGGCCACCTTTCTCAAGCTGGTCATCGCTGCAGCGCTCAGCAAGCCATTTGATCATGTAGAGCTTTGGATCCTTAGTGTGCTTAGGGTTTTGGGTTTTGGGTTTAGGGCTTAGGGTTTAGGGTTTGGGGTTTAGGGTTTAGGGCTTGAGTCGAAACTGATGTGGCAAAGACCTTGATAGAGGAATGGAAGCCATTCTGCATGCGAGGTGTAGGCAAGCATCTTCTGGCTTCTCAGCAATGATGCCTCAATGCCAGGCACATGCGCAGGTCAGCTGCAGAAAACTACAATCCCATCCCAGCGGCCGTTCATGAGCTTCGTAACCAGGCGATCCAGGCCATGCTGATCGACGTATCGCTGCCTCGCAGGGCTCCACGGACCAGCGAGCCGGAGATGATAAAGACTCAGAGATAGTTACTGATAGTTGGCTACCAAGAGGGCCTCAGGGAGCCAGAAGTCAGTGAGCAGCAATACAAGAGAGACTACGGGATGGCAAAAGCGGGAATCCTGGGATGGGAGCCTGGTGGTGGAGGAGCGACACTGCGCATGAGCAGTACGAAATAGTACGAAATAGTACGAATCCTCTCAAGTCTGCGCAGCTTTGTAGCTAAGGCACGCTTCTTCCTGAGCTTTCGTGATGTTCTGTGGCATCGGCATCGTGTCCTCGCGCGAGGAGAGCTGCACTCGGACATGCCCTCTGTGTTAACGCGGAGATGTAGGACATTGTAAGACGTGGCTCCGAGCCTTTCTTAGAAATCCCAGCACTGATGGCCCTGGCAAGGCGGAGTGGCTTGAAAGCCTTCTGCGGCTCGAGCCGCAAAGTTGCTGCGTAGAGATAAGCACTTGACTTGAAAAGTGGCACAGGGACATATGAGAATAGTGCAATAAAGAGTTCGAAGAACTTTCAAGGTGTTCTTTCTTATTCATTGGCACACAATGTCAATACAATCACAACAACGGCCTCTGGAATGCCAGATCAGCCGGCGCGTGCGGTGTCCCCACCTTTTGGGAAGCTCTCAGTTTGACACGACGTTTTTGGTGCATTGAAGACACCTTTCCGCCTTCCGACACTGTTCGGCCGCCGCCTTTCGAGCTTCCTGATCGCCACATGCGATGCTTCACGACCCAGTATGTTTTCGCACCTTCCCGCGATGAGGCAGCCCGGCCTCCGCAAGCTTCTTGAGCGGATTTCCCCTGAGCAACGGCTGCGCCCGGTAACTGGACAAAGAAAGCTGGCAAGCCCGAACGCAACCGCTGCATTTAAGCCGAGGACTGCTCCACTGATGTTTCCTACAAGGAAGAACTGTCGAAGATGCCTCTTCGTGGTTTGCCATGCTACCCATGGCCTGAACCGGCACATGTCTGGGCCCGAAGGACCCCGACCTTGGCTGAATTAATTCGCTCAAAGCTAAACCCTCTCACAAAGCTTCATCGCTTGGACCGACAAAGGCGGCACGGCAGGGATGCGCTCAGACTCTCCGAGGCTGCGACGGGGAGTCTATCGCCTGTGCAGTGGGCGAAGCGCCTGATAAGACCAACTTGAGGACGTCCGGCATTGCCCACTGAGGCTGCTCCTTGCCAAAGTACTCACTGAGCTCAAGATGTAGCAGTGCTTTGTACGAACTTAGTCGAAAGCAGGAAAACATCTCTGTCAAGGCGTTGATCTCTGAAGAAGCGGTTCCTTCCAGGATGCGTTTGCAGCGTCAAAGATCCGATACGCCTGTCCAGGGGCAGACCACAACGCTGAATCCAAGTGTATCCTCGAAAAAGCTAAATAGCGCACCTTTTCTGGCCTTTCCTCCTCGGGAATGTCAAGACGCCATGTGGGTCGCAGCCGACGCCGTGGTACGGCCGGGTTGTCTTCTGACCGGCTCAGAGAAGGCAACTTGAGATTTTTGCAATGTCCACAACTCGTCCAGAGCCTCGCTCCACCGGCCGTCCAAAGTAGCCTGAGGTGCATAGACAAAGGGCACATTGCAGTGCATCGCGGCATGACGGACGTGCCACAAGAACACACTCAACTGTACAACCCGATAGATGCTGCCAAGAAGCACCGAGTATTGGGTGCCTGTGTGTCGTTGGTCCAGACTAGCTGGTGCCGCTCCTTCCACCTGGCAAGCTTGCGTGTGTCGAGCAGCTCTCGCGCCCCGGACAGAAGTGCAAACAGCTGCAAACATGTCGTGGCCGCTGAATCTCAAAACGCACACGCAGCTTTCAATGCGCACTTGAAGTGGTGTGGGTAGCAAAGGGAGCAAACTTCGCTGTCCCCAAATGGAGTGCTCATTTCATTCGCGCTTTTGGGCACCCCTCATTCTCCCTTTGCCTCGCGTCCCCGTACTGGCAACCCAAGCCCTTACAGGGGGATGGCCTTCTACAAGCTCTACAGAAGAAATACCCAGGGGGGGTGATGGATGATGTCATGCGATGTCACGAACCCTTAGCCTGTGACACGTGAACCCTGCGAAACATCGGCGAACCCTGCAGGCCGACAACCAAAAGCCGACACCTGCAGCTCAAAGGACTGCGCAGCTCCAAGAAAGCAATCGTGGCAGCGATGCTGCGGGCGGCGAGTCTTCTTCTTGACCTTTGCTTTGTCGTCCTTTTTGTCATCCTTCTTCTCCTCCTCTTGCGTTGCACGCAGCGCCCACCTCGGTACATGACTGCCGATATCTGCTCATCTACGACCACACAAGCTTGCAGCTTCAGCAGTGTCAGTATGGCAGGAGACTGGGATGCTGCCGTGCGACCATGATCACAAACAGGACTGTTTTACCGAATCGCAAATCCGTTGTGTGAAACGTCTCGGGGCATCTCGTGTCTGCCATCTGTTGAACGCTTGGTCGGCATCTGTCTCGCCTGAACCTTGGATACACAAGAGAACTGGCTTTCTCCGGACCGACATGGTCAGAACACAAGCTATGGCGTCTTCCTGCGGCTGAGGCACCGTCTCTGTAGGGGTCACGGCGGCATTCATGGTGAATTCTTCCCTGGCACTGGGGTCGGCCGCGTCATCATCTTGACCTTGAAAAGGTTTGGTCCAAACTACAGCGCTCAAACCTCCCATCATGTTGCATGCCTCTTTGATGCTGCGCACAAGGCTAAGGCCGCTCAAAACATATTAGTCAAGGGACAGACTGCGTGCAGCATACCAGCAGCATGCCCAATATACCCACAAGGGTCAACCAGAAGGCGAAATGGATCTGCAGGCAGAAAGAGATGAGAGACAACAATAAACAAAGATGCGAGAGAAGGAGAGAAGGAGAGAAGGAGAGAAAGAGAGAGAAAGAGAGAGAAAGAGAGAGAAAGAGAGAGAAAGAGAGAGAAAGAGAGAGAAAGAGAGAGAAAAAGAGAGAAAGAGAGAGAAAGAGAGAGAAAGAGAAAGAAAGAGAGAGAAAGAGAGAGAAAGAGAGAAAGAGAGAAAGAGAGAAAAAGAGAGAAAGAGAGAGAAAGATAGAGAAAGAGAGAGAAAGAGAGAGAAAGAGAGAGAAAGAGAGAGAAAGAGAGAGAAAGAGAGAGAAAGAGAGAGAAAGAGAGAGAAAGAGAGAGAAAGAGAGACAAAGAGAGAGAAAGAGACAGAAAGAGAGAGAGAAACAGAGAGAGGGAAAGAAAGGGAGAAAGAAAGAGAGAAAGAAAGAGAGAAAGAAAGAGAGAAAGAAAGAGAGAAAGAAAGAGATAAAGAGAGAAAGAAAGAGAGAAAGAGAGAAAGAGAGAAAGAAAGAGCGAAAGAAAGAGAGAAAGAAAGAGCGAAAGAAAGAGAGAAAGAAAGAGAGAAAGAAAGAGAGAAAGAAAGAGAGAAAGAAAGAGAGAAAGAAAGAGAGAGAGAGAGAGAAAGAGAGAAAGAGCGACAAGCAAAAACAACTGCGCGTCTGCTGCAACATCAGCCGGCCTCACTTTCAAGAAATCTGCCCTTCAGCCCGAATGCGTTGATGTACTTTGACTGACAGGGCGGCGCCAAGCAATCGCGACACGAACAGCAGGTCTTGTCGATTCATGCTCGCAACAATAACAAAGCGCAGGAAAACACAAAAGTTGGCAAGCCCCACCCCTGACAAGCAGGTCATCACCACTGCCAGAAAATCAAAGATGAACCATACCGTCAAACCTGCCACAGGGAAACATGCCTTTTTGAGACAAACTGCATTACGTGCCATAGGCAACAGTTCTCAAATGTCGAAGATTGAGTCGACTGAATACCACTACGCCAGCATGTACGAAAAGGCCTCCAAATGTGGCTGCTTTGACAATCCCCAAGCCGCACTGACCTCAGAAGGCGACACGATCTCTTACTCGTAACATCTGGCGATGTCTCATGACCCTACCTCAAGCTTTGCAATGGGTGTCAAGGCTTTCGAATCCTTGAGGCCTTACATAGTGTATGGTTGAAGCCTTGCATGGGGGCCCTTCTGCCTCCTCACCTGCACAAAATGATTGGCGCAACCAGACACGGCATCTTCTAGGAAAGCAGCCCATGTAGCATCGATCAAGGCCCAGCATTCCAGGCACCACCGTCAGCTCCATCAGTGATAGGGCCACCTGTCCCACGCCAGAGCAAGAATCAGCAGTTGACTCGGCAATTGACTCAGCAACAAGAGACTGCGAAACGTGTCAAGAGTTTTGCGCTAAAAATGCCCCGGCCTTGCTCTTGGCATCAGGGCCTGCACCCACCTGTGCAGCAGGAAAGAGGTGCATGGAGGTCTTTCCGGTGCGTAAACTTCCAGGAAAAAGGTACAGAAGGATGCAAGGCACACATCTCCCACCCCCCTTTTCCCCGCCTGGAGCTCATACTCTAGATGACCAAGGACGTCCAGACTTTGGAGCGCCACTGACGTGCGATTTGTCGCTTCCTGGCGTTCACGCATCGTGACTCCTCGAAGCGAATCGAACATCCGGGGGCCTGCACGAATCCAATCTCCTCGAGCGTGGCGTTTTGCCTAAATGACGCACCTTGGGCGGGCCGGAGCTCTCTGACAAACTTCGCCCAGGATAAAATGGATAAAGGAAAGGGGGGATTGCCCTGTCTCAAGGAGGCAACTCTTGAAACTGCGCCTGGGCGCTCGAGTCGCTGTTACTGAAGGCATCACCATCTCCATCCCCGTCCCCATCACCGTCGTCGGCATCGGCATCTTCCAAATGAGCAGACCCATGTAGGTCCATTTGCAGCAGCGACACCTGCTGAGGGTTGTGTCTAGGCATCACAAAGGACTCCGCATGAAGCTCTGACACATGGCTGCTCTCCGCCTCCTGCGCATCCAACAAGTCACTCTCGCATTGTTCAATGGCGTCCTCGCTCAATGCACGTCCTTCAGAGACCGGTGTCTTCGTGCAAGTGCATATGAGTGAACAGCAACAGGCTGGTTGGAGAGCATCGCAATCGCAGGCAATTCTTGCAGGTTCCACCTGATGTAACGCAGGTGAGGTCTAGCGCAAGCGGGTGCAGCAAGAAGCCTTGAGAGACCACTCGAGCCATTCTACAAAGTCATGTGGTGAACTTTCATTAGAAGCGCCGTAGGGCAATGAATGCTGTGCTAAGGTCTCTTGGAGGCCTGACCTGTTGCCAAACACGTCCTGAAAAGACGAGGCATCGCGCCAAAAGATCTAGCCTCAAGCAGGAGCACAGTCACTGGGTCGATACATGGCACGCACGTCTCACCGAAGCATGCGCATCTCAATTTAGCACCCAGCTCCACAGCTTAGAATGGAAACGGGAGGGGATCGAGCTGGAGGGTTTCCCGAGCTCTAGCCCCATCCTCTTGAGCCAAAGGCCACAGGGCATCATCGCTTGTTTGACAGGATCTTGAACATGCGGCACATCAAGGACATGGACCACAGCCGACACTTAGCTGGCCACGGGATAGATGGACCTACATGTAGACACCCTGGGTGCAGCGTTGGCCTCACAGAGTCTCCCTTTATACCGCTGCGCCTATGACCCTCGCACGAGCTCCACCGTACACGATCGGACTAAGGCCCACACGCCACGGTACACTGAGGCATCCAGCGCACGGCTTTAGTGGCAGGTGTGTTGAAAGCACTGCTGAAGGTTTGGAAGCTCAGTCTTGTAGCGTGATACGGTGGTACAGAATCATGTTCATGCGTTCAGCTTGATATAGCTGTGAAACCATCCAGTCCATTGCAGTCGTGTGGTACAAACTACTGCTCCGAGCCGTCCAGAGAACAAATATGACTTGCTTTGGTTAAGTTCCCATGCATCGAAAGCACGCCAGGAGACACCCGGATGATCATGCCGGCACCTGACATCTGCTTGGCCCATGGTTGAAGACTTCGAAGGCGCACAGAGAGCCACATAGATGGCAGCATGCAGATGCAGCGCCTTTTACAGTGTTCTTTGGACGGAACGTGAAAGTAACCTTGGCTGACTGCGTTGGGCAGAATCACTTTGCCCGTGTCCGAAGCAACTTGCAACGCTCGCCAGCCGAGCCCGCAGCGGGATTTGACAAGAAAGGGTCACCTGTCACTGTTGTGGATCGGCCCATCGTCGCAGTTAGCAACGATGTCCTGCCAACAATGCTTTCAAAGATGTCGCACACAAGCATTAGCTGTCACTGTCAAAAACATGTACTCTCTGACAGTCAGCCCCTTATGGCTCCTGGTGAATGTCCACAACATGTAACCATCGAACGGATCTGAGGACTCCCCGTTGAAGTCCAGCGTCCACCTGCATGAAGTAGACATGTTGGGCTGAGGACAAGGCTCAGAGAACCTGCCTGTTGTCAGCAGGCTGCACGACTGGATTGTGCAAGACAGCTACGCGAATGGGGTAGAAGACCTCGAACTGCAAGCCTGCCGCTTTGATAAGGTGCTCATCTTGTCAGGGGGGGATGGCGGACTCTCTAAAGTCGCACTAACTTGATGTTTTGCGGCGCACCATCACTAACTCCAGGATCGATCACAATCCTGCGACACGGATGTCAGAGCCGAATCAGAACGAAAGCGCCCCACAGAACGCAAATCCAAGGTCTCCTGGCATCTGGACCTTCCCCTCGGCAGCTGACAACCTGGACACCCTGTGGCCAAGCAGCATACCTTTTTGTTGGGGGACCACAAGGAACCACAAAGCACATCTTCCTTGGCAGATTGGGTATAGAGAGCGCACTCGGCAGGCAGCATCTGACCCGTTCCAAACACCTCGGCTGCGCGTGTGATCCATGCATGCTGTGACTGTGTCCACACGTGTTTCGGCCTCAGTTGGGCGAACTTCAACATCCTCGCTGCAGTCTTCCCGGAAGATGGTGCCCAAGGGCCCCCTGAGCAAGAGCGGACATGGGCTGTGAGACAACACACTGATACGCAAACAGTGTGCCTGATCATCATTGTCGAGGAGAAGATGGCTGCACTCCCCAGCTTGAACCTTGTGTTCTTTAACATGGAGATGCAGAAATGTCTGAGAATGGTGGATTCATTAGATGGATAGCTGCTAAACAATAGAGTCGCGTGAAGCTCGAAAAGTGTAACCCTCAACTCACAACGATGCAAACAGTTCACAAACAACTGCGCACGTTACTATCAAACAAAGACCTCCACATAATCGACATTTCAATGGAATCGCATGCGGCTGAGACAACAACTTGAAGACCAAGGGATTCCTGCTCAGCGGCCGGTCCTTGAACAGATGGGCCAAGAACCATGGATTCTACGTCTATTGCCGTATGAAGCCTCCGACAAGCATCAGCTAAAGAACCAATTGTTTGAGCTTCGCGCGTCTCGACCAGTAGCTGCCTGACAAAAGCATGCCAGAACAGGCACAAAACATGGTGATTGTGCTAGCATTGCCTGCTGGTCCCTCGTCAGCGGAGGCAAGAGGGCCTCACGAGTCAAACCGGGAGATGTTTTTCAGGTGATGGCGCAGCTGGGCACGGAAACCTCGACCATCTTTACGTTGATGTCGAACGATGGGATGCTTATGCTCGAGTCCAGCTTGGTGGCGACATTTCCTATCACCTACAGCCGATACGCGCTCACTGCCCTTCCCTCTGCCATCCATGTTGGCATGTCACATGATAGCGTGACCGCATGCATACTGACTCCACCTGAAGGGAGTGAAAGTCCCAGCAGTACTGGCGCATGCATGGCCTCAGCGATGGACTGCAATCAGGACAGGTCTTCCTACGATCGCAGCCTGATTGCAGATGAGAAGCTTCGAATTGTCAATAGAATTTGCCACTGCCTCACAACGAGCAGCGGAGCAGCGCAGTATTACATAAACGACCTTCCTGCTTGGCGATCCATGCTGGCAAAGTGCTGTAGCAGGATTCTTGCCGAGCAATTGGAAGCGGTACAGACCCGGCCTGACACTAAACATGGCACAAATGAGCAAAAGCGCTCTTAGATTGCGATCTTGTGTCGCACAACACAACCAAGAACCACAGCTCATGCAGCTGCCAGCTTAGGGCTTCGCATGATGCCGGATGTGCCTGCTGTTATCCTGAGCAGCTTGCAGCCGTAGCCAACATTAGCCACAAGATCCACAGACCCCAGAGGCCTGATGATACTTCGGCCGGCAGGGCCAGTCGTCTGCTGAAAGCTGCATGCCACGTCCGTCGGCAGACTGGGCCGAGATGCAGTATGCTGCTCGGCTGCTTGATAGGAAAGCCCACGACACCCTCCGCACCTCAACACCTTCGATGCCATGGGCTCGACTTGATACGTGGAGCCACGAGCGGAAGGAGCCACCTCTGAAAGGGCAAAAGGGGCAAAGCGGGGGGGGCAAAAGGTAGCAAAGCGGGGGGCAAAAGGGTTGGCAAAGGGGGGGCAAAGGGGGAAGCATGGGGAAGCGGGAAACCGAGGGAAGGCCGAAAGGGCCAAGGGTGATGGCCGGGCCTCCGGGGTGCACGGATTGGGGAACTCGAAGCCGAGTGGTCCCTCAATCAACAGGCCACCTCCCTGCGGCACCTGCCACAGCGCTTTAAAGAGCTGCTGTTAAGCAAAAGGCAGCTCCATGTGCAGTTCACCCCAGCTGCTGGCAGTAAGCTGCTCGGCTGGTTAAGCTGACCTGGCTGATGGTCTGGACCTGGAAAGTGATAGGATTCACCTGACATGGAGGTGGTATTACGGTGGTATCAGGTGGCAAACATGACGTACGCAATGCCACACCACAAGGAACCATGCATCAATATGCAATCTGCTGCTCGCTGCGGTACGGAAAGACTTACAAAAGGCTTGCACAGCTTTGCTTCTGGTGTGTCTGTATCCATTCAAGAACCTGACAGGATACCCGGAATTAGCTTCTGCCTTTCAAGGAATGCTCTGCCTTTTGAAGCATAGACTTTCCCGATTGAATGATTTCCTTCAGGGTTTCATCAAAGTTAATCGCTGGGTTTGGTGCGTATTGGCAAAACTATTCTGAAGAGCATTGTGCGCATGCATTTCTGGGTGGAGGAGCAAGTATACGCAAGAAAAATGATGTAGGGCACCCTGCTTTACCGGATAATGCACAAGACATAGAGAGCAAAGTCGCGGCCTTCCCCTCCACGTTCGTGTTGTACTCCAGGGCGGCGTCGGTTAGGGACTGCACCGCTGGAGCGGGCACCTAGGGAGCGAAGCCGTGCGAACACGTCAGCTCTGGTCCCTGCAACCACGCAAGGCATCTTGAGCAGCTGTATGCTTAGCTTGTTATACTAGCCTAGGCTCTAGCATGAAGCTTTCTTGCGTCGTTGTAGTATCATAAGATTGGATTACTATATAGCTATGACCGCATTACCATAGGCCTGAGGAAGTCGTATCAGCCCCGGGCCGCTGAAGCAGCGTGGCGCGTGGCTAGTGAGTTGCCATCCTGGGCGGCGGCGGGGCTTGGTATGAAATGCAGAACATGAGCACAACATGAGTACAAACGAATGCAATACGTGTGAAACAAGCCACAAACTTCTTTGGCACAGTCATTCTGTCACGTACCGGAGAAGGCGTGTTTTGCTGAAGGCATCTGATCTGATCTCGTCACTCCTCCGTCACTCGAAGTCCCACACGCCGCCACCTCCAGCCCCACAAGTGGGAGGCACTGCAGACCCAAAGGCTACCGTGGAACGCGTGATCTGCTTCGATGCAAGCCGAAGCCTGCTCGGCCTCCCAGGACAACACACTCACAGCAGAGGAATCCAACAGAAGGCCACTGGATCCACAGTACGGACAGACCTCAGACGGATCCCCCTCGAGAGAACTCAGGCTATTCGGCGGCAGCCACGCCCAGGGAACAGAAGGACTTGAGGAAACACGCGTCCCAAACACATGCGCTCGGGGCAATCTCGCAGGCTGATCGTCCAAGTACCGGCCAACGCGGGTCCGTGATGTGCAGGCCGTCTTGTTCACCTGCTCACAGAAAAAGGCCATCATGCCAAGTTCAGCCAAACAAACTCCAGATATTCGCAGGCGAAAGCTGCAGGGCAGCGCAATGCCAATAATGTTCTGTGCCATAGAGCTCCGTGGACCTCGCCAGAGAGTGGCAAAGCTATCGATTATCTCCATCTCCATGACACTTCGAGAGTTGAGGCCAGGTGCAGCATCTCCGACAACATCCTCAAGAGGCCTCTCCTGCTCCTCCTCCTCCGTGCTGGCAGGGCGTAGTTGCACAGCAATGTTTGGCGCCATGTCTTCAGCAACCCCCATGTTTGCGAAAAGGGTTGACAGCAGAAGGCTGCGCTCGGATGAGAGGTTGCATAGCATGAAGCTTTGCCATCCGGTTGCAATATCCGCACGCGTGAACCCTGCACCCTGATAAAAAGCAACTCCGGCGCAGAGCGGGCAGAGCGGAAAGCACCCCCCGGAAGCCTTCGAGAAGAACCGGCCACTCACAGTCGCTCGAGCAGGCTGACTGTATGCTGAGACCGGCCAGCGCAAGGTCTGATACAGCAGTGATCTATAGTCTATAGGAGGCCATGACTGGATTGGTACCACCTCGGCTGCAGGTCGAGCTCCTAGGGGTAGGGCAACAAGGACTGATTCTGACCAACCTTCGTGAGATTGCAACTCTGGCAGGAAAACTTCAATTCCTGGCCATCTAGTCAGAAGTCCTCTGTCGATTTCGTCGCACACAGAAAAGAAAGGCCCTGCCACCCAAACCACGGCCTGTCGCCAAGGAAGACCCGCAGGTGCAAGCAATGAATGCCATCGTTTCGACACTGGTCCGCAGGCAAATAGATCGAAGAACTCCAGGTAGCAAAGGAGCCGCTCCAGCCCGTGGTCGTCCCAGTGCTCCGTGGTTGCAACTGCTGTGGCGGAAGGGATGATCCTATGTGATCCTCACATCATTGCTAGGATGGCCGGAGGGTGGCCATGGGGCTAAGGCTGCAGGAGCTTTACGACCGAGGGGCTTGAGCCAGTACTTGCGAAATGCCCTATGGAACGCTCTACATACCGGGCACTAGTATGCAAACCCTTGGCGGCAGTGTCGAAGCGCGTGAGACACGGCGCTGGCAGGCTTACTGACACATGAAGCAGCGGAACAACTGGTGAAAAAGAAACAACGTGAAGACCTGAGGCATGGTATGGTGAAATTCGGTTGGCTCGCATGGCTTGGCATCCACAAAGGGAAAACACGCTAAGCTTCGCAACGCTGAACTACTACATAGGAATGTTGCACCAAAGCAAGGCGCTGGCCACCGACGGTGCCCCTTTCACTGCCAATGGCGAAGGCAGAGCTTCCAGGATCCGTTTGCTCAGCATGCCCTTTCTCATGGCCCAAAAACGTAAAGTAAAGAGCATGCCATGGACGGCATGGACACAGATCTCGAAGACTTCATGGGGACCTGGCATATCCGAATTCGAAGATGAACCAGTTTGGAGCAGTGGTTGGGGTCCTTGGAGCAAAGCCAACTCTTCACATCCTTCATGTCCTGCAAGAGAATGCCGCATGAGCTGAGACCCATGCCGATCCGGAACCCGAACGTAGGTCTGAAACCTGCCCCAGCACAAAGGCTTCTGTTCAACCGCTGGAGTGGTCCAAGTAAAGCAGAGCTAGTGAACCTTGAAGGGCCTAAACGCTTCAAGCCCCGAACATTGCTGCCCCAAAAAATCAGTACAAGCTCCAAATGATGCCTATCCCAAGTCACTGCGAGTAAACAAGCAAAACACTGCAAGCCTGAAGCACTGCAAGCCAAATGCACTGTTTCCGAACACATCGCTACCCCAAACACTGCCAACTTCCTTAGCCAACCGTGCGATTGAAGTTTTGTGTGGCAGCCTCTCTCTCAACAACTTGTGTTTTGTGTCCTGGCCTCTTTCAAAACGACGCTCCCGCTAAGGCGGAATGCGCCAAGCGAAAACCAAAAAAAAAGAAGGAGCGCACCCGAGTCATCGGGCTGCTTGTCATGTCCACAAAGTCCACGCTTGGAGTTGCATGATGAAGCATGGGTAGCAGCGTTTTGGGCGTGCAGTGGCTTTCGGTCTCCAGAAACATGGTTTAGAGATGGCCGCACAGAAAAACATGCTTTTGTTTGGACTCGTTTCGCATTGGTGGTTTTGCTGTTCTTTGATCCTTTAGGTTGTCGAGTGCTTCTCGTCTTTTTTCGATTGCTTACATTCTTCACTCTCGTTCGCTATTGTCAGATTGTAGCCTGACGGTTCTCTTCGCTCGTTCTCCATTTCTCCCCGCCGGGTTTCCTGGCTTGGGTCTCCTGTCTGCAAGAGAAGCCCTGGAGAGCCCAATCCCAGATGATCCCTACGCTTTCCTTCAGAATGTTTAGCCATTGCAGCATTTAGACATCTTTTGAACACTTTCTGGTCCTGTTGCGTTCTGACTTCCCTCACCTGTCTGCTCGGGGCACTAGCAAAACATCAGCATATGCGCACAAGCTGCAAAATCAAGACATATTTGGAATGGTCTCGGATGTTTCTGAATGATTCGAAGTTGTCTGGAATTTTGGGATGGTGACAACCTGAAGAAGAGCTCTAAGCGGCTACAAGGTATTCCCTGCACCGCACCATCAACCATCAAGCGCGCTTGGGATGACCCGTACGTCTCATTCGGCCAATACATCCTGGCCTGAGAGAAGACATCTCATCCATGGCCGCTGGAAGATGAAACAGGTGACAACGGGATGGCCTGGCTCCAAAGGAGGATGTTGCCCTGCCGCTGTGGAAATCCGCCTCTGCACTGCGACCGTTTCTCCGGCAACGCAAACTGCAGCCTCAACATTGCCTGGCAGTGTGCCCGTGGCCCCCATCAGCCACAAGCTCTCAGTCCTTTCCAGACTTGAAGTTGCCCTACACATTAGCACAGTGCTCGATGTGTTGATTTGGCTTCGGACGTGTTCGGGAAGGGAGCAAGATGGCGGAACTCGGCGTTGGTGAAGTCCCAGTCATACCTGGCAAGAAGCAGGAACTGCGCACCTACGAGACTGCATTCCGATGCATTTGGTCCACAAACACTGCTCCAGACAAGGGGAAGCTTAGGAAGCTGACCCAAGAGGTGCTGCTACCTTACCGTCGAATCACCACTGCACACCATAGGTTTGAGGCAGCAACTGTCGTCACGGCAAAGCTGGAAAGGGCCCCCACTCGCAGAGTCGACGTGATCTGCTCAACTACCTTGCAGTATTATCAGTATTGGTGATGTCAATTCATGTCAATTCATGTCATCTGGTCTCTCTCTCTCTCTGTCAGTGCAGCAGGTGCTGCTCTTGGGGCGTGGACCCTGAGAGGGAGAACCGTCACCCATGTCCTCTGCATGGACCTTCCACAGGCACGTTGACGACAGCTGGACAGATCTGAACTTTTGACGTGCCAGGATCGCAAGGCAGTGCTGAGGCCCCAGCATCGTGTAAGGGATGGTGCTCTGTATCGACACCTGCCGCAGCAATTCCCAAGAAAAGTTGAATCAAGGGAAGTTGAAAGCGCGGAAAGCCCTGCACTAATTGCAAATGCCTGTACGTTCAGCGTCGTCTGTGTATTGACCTGTGCCTGGGATGAAAATCGTGGCTGACGCACTGCTGTCACAGCTGCGACATCCCCCTGCTATGACTTCTGCTTGCCAGCAAGTAACCCGGTAGAGACCGAAGCTCATCTGCGTGTCCGGCATCGTCAGGCTTGTCGCTGTGTGCGCCAACGCAGGGATCGGCACTGGCGTCGCATCCTCGATTCCAGGAAATGCAGCAGATGCTGTGGAATGGAACGACCGAAAGATCGTCATTGACTGTACCTATGCCACATTTGTTGCCGACCCCAGATGAACCAAGGCTGCAACCACCTTGAAGTCGTTCATGTCCAGCGTGTAGATCCTTCTCAGAGTTGGTCCCACCATAACTTTACACTTAATGGTCTGCCTAGGTCAGTGCTCCTCCAGCCGGTTCTCTGAGACTCCGCATACATCTGACAGGCATGCATGGCGCACAGTACTAACGCTGCCGACTGCTTAGATCATGTGGAACATGCACAAATGCCAACCATAGGGCCGAATCATGCGCTGGCTCTCATGCCTCTGCGTTTGAGGCCCAGAGCCCGAAGGCGTAGTTGGAATTCGACCTGCAGCTGCATTTCGCAAGTCCCAAGGTCCTATTCCAGGCCAAGGCATCGCCAGATCTTCTCAGGCTCGGGCAGTATTGCACCCGTCAGCTTGATGGCAGCATGGTTGTAGGGATATGTCCGGTGCTCACAGGACACGAAGCCTGGCCGGGTTGCAGGGTGTGCAGGGTGTGCAGGGTGCAGCCACATCAGCAACTTGACTTCCATGTTTGAGACGCCTGGCAGGCGGCGCGTGGGCCCTTCCATCTGCCCGGGGGTTGCATAGTACGTATCCTGCAGCGCTGTGTGATCACATCAAAAGGTTCAAAAGACATCAAGAGAATCAGATGTTTGTTGCTTTGTGCATGTTTTCATGTGTTGATGTTTGATGCGTCCTCCAAGTCTTGAACTTGGCAGGGGTTCGGCGCGAAAGAGAAGCCCGATGGAGCCTGAAAGTTCATGGCACAAGAGCACTGAGATCATCCCCTCCGCAAGTCACATCCACGATGACTCCCAGACACAGCTTGGCGCCTCAACGTGCAATGATGCTTCCACACCCGTGCCCTGCCATTGGGCTGCCACTATCAGCAACATAATAGCAGCTCCTCAGCTTGATATAAACTCATGCATTTCGGCTTGCCAAGTTCCTCGTTTGCCAATGGGCCTGCTCTGAGCGGAAGAAGATGCTCAAGTAACCCTGCGACATCACGAGTCCTCCTTCCTCGGCGGTCCGCGAAACTGAGCCAAAGCAGCTTAGGAGCGCATCAAAGATGAAGCCTGGAAACGATTCTAAGTGTCTGGCAGAATACATCCAGTTCGACGGCACTATGAGCGGTTGCATGAGCTTTCCCAGAACTGCCTGCCAGCGCTCAGCTCAACTCGAATCAACTCGAATCAGCTCAACCCAACCCAACTCAACTCAGAGATTCATGGAGGCTTTTTTCTCCACCGAAGCTACGGACCCAAGGCGCCGGCCGTATTGGAGCTGAAGTTTTGCATGACCGTGTTGAAGATCACCTGAGAAGCACTGAGGCAGCTCCGAGGGCCCCCAAGTAACGCAGTGATCTGAGTGAAAGGAGTTTTTTGCACCAAGGGGCTGGAGGGAAAGTGACCTCATATTGGTGGTAGCCTTTGCTGGTCAGGCTCACCTGGTTCGGGGGCCAGGGCACCTGCTACCTTCTGACGTGTGATGCGTCTTGGTTCTTACCATGAGCACCTGCCAGCGGTTGGTGGGATCCATCCGCTGTAGCGCAGTTGCTGGGTTGTTTGCCGTGACCTGAGCACAGCACGCTGGGTCTCCTCCAAGAAGCGCACCGTTGTTGCTCCGATCCGTTCTGAGATCCAGTCCCGAATGTACAAGGAGCTGCCAGCGTAGATGACTGCATTCTGGCGCAGCGTGTACACCTCATGTATCAACATCGTGTTGTTGGAATGGACAATATAACAGTCTTGCGATGTAGGTCATAGCTGCATTGCAACATTGAGGAAAGCGCACAATTGTTGTCTTGGACTGACCACCCCCTGATCAAACGGAAACATGCATTCATGGCATTAGTGGTTTCTCGGGCAAGATCGTCTGGCAGCATGCCTCGTGCCGCCCCCTTCGTCTGGCGATCCAGTGCCCTGAGGAATCTTCCCCTGGAAGACGCCCAGATCGTCCTGGCCAGACGTGTCGGATCGCTGCAAGCACAGCAATCCTCCAAAAGCTTGCTGAAAGGTTCCTCTGCACGCCATGGCGACTCGCCGTTAACGTCAGGAGTTCGCACCTCACTAAACAGCAGTATTGAACCGCGTGTACATCTCTTAACTTGCTCTCTGGCTGGCAGTAGTTGTCCAGGGCACAATGAAGCCTGCTTGCTGAGACTTGTGCACACTCGTAGCCCTGGGGTAACGTCAGAGTCATGTATGCCTCGGCGAATCTAAACAGATGCAAGACTTGACAAAACGTTGAGTTCTGATATGTTCTGATGAGTCATTACTGCAGTCAAATCCTGAGAAGCCTGTACATGTGACATCATGTGACTCTCGTGCCGGGGTACGTCGCCGGTCTGCACTGCTGCGAAGAGGGTGGAGGGAAGCACCAAGTTGGCATACAGGATGTTCCTTTGGTCCTGCCAATCAAGGCCTTTTGACATGTGCCTACAAAAGTCGCCACTTGGCATAGCAGAACATCTCTTCAAGTCTTCGATATTTATTTTGCTAACACCACGAGCTTCATGTGTGCATCGCACAGCCGGTCCCCGCGGAACGGGCTCTGGTCACCATCACCATAGAACTCCACCAGCTTGCCAACACCGACCTCGGACATTACAAGTTGGGAGCACCCTGTCATGTACCCCCTCCCGCCCTGCTGAAAGCCAAGCATGAGACACCCTCATCGTGCATCTTGTAGATGTAGTCACCACTGCTGACCGTGTAGTGCGGCTTTGTGTCATCCGCCTCTTGCCCGCTACAGCCCAACATCGCTACCTAAGTCAAGGTCCTGAATCAGTTGGGCTCTGCTCACCCACCTTGGAGATTTGTGCAGCCAGCCGGGTGGAGAAGAATCCTGATGCTTCATCTCTTGGCGTCTTGGGAAAGAAGAAGCATCTGCATGTCTGCATGCATCTGCAAGTGCTCAAAGGGCTCTAAGATGCGCTAAGCACACCAAGTGCCCAGCCACCAGTGGGCAGGACCAAGTCAGGGAAGACGAGCGTGTGGCTGATAAACTGCACAGGGCACGTGGACGCTCTCGGGGGCACTGTAGTGAAACTTCTAGTTCCTGCAGTCAGATACACCTGCCAACTTGACAAACACGGCTAAGGGAACCTCTGTCATGGTGGCCATGGCAGAGGGGAGCACGATGCGCAGGTAGTTCTGCTGAAAGTTGGGTATGATGGCCTTTAGCAGCAGGCGTCTGTTGTGCGCTCCCCTCGAGAGACAAGAGAGGAACAGAATCGCCTGAGGCAGCGAAACCCCAAGCTCACAAAATCCCTTGAAATCTCGTTACCTGACTGCCCTGAGCTTCCCTCAAGACTGTGCGCCCCCACGTCACCCTTGCAGTCTTGGACGGCCCCGCAGGGTGCTGACACCTGGCAGACAGATTCTTGCCACAAAAGAAGTGTTCGCAACACGTACTGACATACTGCTCTTTTTATGAGGAACAGTCGTACCATCGTACACTGTTGTATGAGCACATGTCACGGTGCTGACAGCTCAGGGAGGGCTGCCTGGTCGTGCGCGATGCACATGACAGTGCAGGCGTTTGCCACATTCCACTGCGTCAACGGCCACAAGTAGAGTCGCAAGACTGCGGACCTGAGCGTGGTCATGATCTGGAGTATTCAAAATCAATCTTGCTTAATTCATCTTTAACCCATATAACATGTATTGCTTGTCGTTACCATGGGTATTTCTTCCGATCATGACCTCTGAGGACTGCACGCAGAGATTCCACCTCCCAAAGGGTCGCCTTTGAGTTCAAGCCTCAACTCCTGCACAAGGAGCTTGATTGTCATAATTACATGAGACCTAACACTGTAAGTGTGTATCTACATATCCAACTTTCATGCCATCAAATCAGCTTGCCAGATGCGCTGGATGCAGAGTTCCGCTCCGTGCCACCCTTGAGTTCCAGCATCCTCAGGAGTTCCATGGAGGTCATGACAGAAGCACACGAGACTCTGGCAATTGAACTGTCACCATCCAAGTAGCTCTGTTCCCGAACCGCTCGAGATCTTTACGCCATCGGTTTCGGCAAACTTCACACCCTGCGAGCCGTAAGCGGGGTCCTGAACAACTCCGGACATTGAGATCACGTCCGTCGCACATGCAGGGGGATTGCCTGTCCTGCGGTGATCTATAGAGTGTTGCAATGCCGCGCTCCAAGGCAATGTATGGATGGAGATCCACATCCTCAAGAACGGGTCGGGTTCAGCTCAAGCGTGTGCTTCTTCAAGGTTTCTTTTGGATGTCGTTACCATGACGGCATGTCTTGGTCGAGAGCATCCGTGGTGAATATGTGCACATACTCCCCGTCGCGGATCGCCTCGAGATGATCCGCAGACACTTAGCCATGCAATGGCTCAACGCGTGGTGACTGCAGAATGCAGGGCGCCTCGTCCATAGCCACGCCCATGAGCACAACCTTCACGTTTTGTGATGTCACATGCACATGCACCCAAGTGTACTTGAACTCACTGGGCCTGGTAGTACTTGCCCGGGGCAAGTCCATTCTTTCGATCGAACAGCATGTTGAGCTCCTGCAAGGTCAGCAGTGCGAGCACGGCGAGCACCCCCTTTGAACGCTGAGGTTTGAGAGGGCTGCGGAATCTTTTGTGCGAAGGTCCTGCGTCTGACCATAGGTTCGATAGTAGCAGCCTGCAACAAAAGAGAAGACAGAGTCTGCATCGAGGGAGGGCAAACTTTTGCGAAGACAACAAGCTCAATCAAGATCACAAGAATCACTCACAGGAGCACGATCACGGCCCAAAGTGCGACGGCGGTTATGCACTTCAAGAGGTGAGAGTGGACGCACTAGGCAACCACATTGTGCGAAACGGAGCGGTTGAAGCGCGAAGAAGCGCACCGCGCCAAAGCGGGAACGCAATTCCGATCGCGGAGCCTGCTCCGGACAGGCGAGAGCGGCATGTGCCATGGGAAACACACACACACAATCGTCGAGTCGTCGATTGATTCAACTCAGGTTTCTCGGAGGCTCAGACTGTATAAAGATGGTGGCCAGGAAGCAGCAACAAGTAGAGTACAGTAAACAAGAAAGTCGAGAAGAAGATGCACGTCACGGCCACAAGCCGCCAAGCAATGTGCAAGAACAGAAACAACAAGCGAGCAAGTGTCTGGTTTTTCCGAGCGGAAGATGAACCTTGCCTCTGGGCATAGGAAAGCCAAACTCCTCATCGTTTGACCAGACCTCCCTGAACAACTTGCCGCAGATGTACCTGTGCTGATCAGCTCACAAAGGCCACCCACAGCACTATGTAACTTGAGGTCAGCTGAATGAGTGAGCTTGTAGAGCTGCACACGAAAGCCAAGCTAAGAAATAAACATTGCTTCATGAGTTTTTGTGGTTGTAGCTTCCTTGATTCCTCAAAGCGTAGGCGATGGCGCACTGTCTTGCCTCGTTAAGCTCGTCCTCTCCCTGCATGTCACACTGACGTGACACACCCTAGCAGGCATAAAACACTGCGGTGCAGTACTGCAGCGACTCGCCTGGTTGTCTTCGATGGCTGCACCATCTGTGAAGGTGGCTTTCAGTGCCACAGTCCTGCAGCTACAACTGCAGCCGCGCCGGTGACTCTAGCGAAGGCACTGCCGGCTCGCACGCGGGACCACGAGCACAGGCCTGACGAAGTAGATTCTGAGGCGCATCCGGCCCTGGAACGAAAAACAACAGAGCGAGACTGCATCCAAGAACTTCCCCTGTGGCGGTGTGGTGCACTCCTGCTGGCAGCTACCGCGTGTATGCAGTGCAAGATGCCTCAAGCGACTCGTATCGCTTTCCCGTCTCTGCGGTGGCAGTCCTCATGTTCGCTGACGAACAGAGGCTGGTAAATCCAAGATGCAAGGACAACGACCAGCAAAGCAACTAAGCAGGTGCTGGATGATTTGTGCAGGTACCTTTTCGTAAAATATGTACCGGCTGGTCAAGAAATTTCACCGATGTCAACCCTCACATGAACTTACTGAGGCGTTGGCCGGAATGACAGAATCATAGGCGCATATGGAGTCATCTGCTTCTTCACAAGTGTTGTCAGGCCTGAGCGGCCCGTAGCACTGGTGTTGGCATCTGTTGGCATGTGCAAAAAAAACACGCATCGCAAGAACCAGAAGCTGCTTCTTGATCTCCCGCCGCTGAGGTCACCACTCACAAGACATTCACTCATGGCGTTGGGATCCAGCATTGTGAGGGTACCCACCTGCACATGACGAGTCGATGCCGGAGCCATGGCAAGCAGAGCAGCTGTGCACTCCACAAAGGCCTCTGCCACGTGCCGTGGTGCCGGACCCGATTCCCCCATGGCCGGCGTGTACTTCCAGCAAACTTTCATGTCGATCCTGGCATGGCCACTCAGACGTGGAATCCAGACTAAATTTTTCGATGGGAATCAGCTGTGGCCAGCCCTTAGCCTAGTAAGCCTAGTACATACCTGTCAAATGAAAGTCTATGGGGTCAATGCGGGGGCAGAATCGGGCACATCACGCGAAATAGCAGGGTGCTGCGGCAAGGCAGCTGCTCCGATTTGAGCTCACGGCAAGTTTTTTTCTGGTCTAACATGGGTGCTTCCCAAAATAGTGACTCACCCAGCGATACCCCTAAATGCTTGGTATAGGAACCCCAGCAAGGAAGTCCCTTTAAAAGGGTGATGTTGGCGCGGAAGTTGCTGTCTTCACAGTAAACAAATGGCAGAGGTTGGCTTTGGGGAGAGGTGGATTATTTGGAGGGAGCATGAAGAACTTACCAACTCATGAATTGTTGGGAAGCACCCGACCGTGCTAAAGCAGAAACGAAAGGCTTGCTGCCACGCTCTCTTTTGCGAGGAGCTACAGCATGAACCCCACGACACCCTGATCAAAATACTCTCACACCGTCCTGGCCTCTCTTTCTCGCCCATGATCTCTTCGGCAGTGATCGCCTGACCGGCCCAGCAAGGTTGCAGTTTTTTCACTTGGTGTCATCTGCACACTAACTAATACAGGAAAAGTGTATTTGCAATGCATTTGGCAGCTTTCGTTCCAGTGATCCTGCTCATGACACTTGACGTTGCTGCAAGAACAGATGTTGACCAGCATGTATGAATGCTGCTCGAAAGTCATCCACAACTTTTGGCATGCGCTGACCATGCTGCCGAATTTGTTCCACTGACAGAACCTTTCCCAAGCTCTGTAACATCCGCTCATTGGGATCGATGCACTCGTCAAGCATTTGTCTCAGAAAGTCTTCGGCCAGCGAACGGTCTCTGGACTTAACAGCAGCATGTATGCATGAGCCATAGACCACCACGTCACGACGCAGCCGGGCATTGCTGATGTCATCAAAGAGATGCTTCACCTTGCAAAGGTGCAATGCCCTGGCACAGGCAGTGATGGCGGATGTGTATGCCTGCAAGCATGGAAGAACTCCATCCTCCGACATCTTGTGCAGCTGATTCAGTGCAGAAGTCCAAGCGGCGGACCGAGAGAATGCGTTGATCAGGGCCAAGTGAACGGGTGCAGATTTATCAAGATTAAGATTCAGACTTTGCAGTAACTCGAGCTGTGGCTTAAACTTGCCATCAATGCCTGATCGCGACGTCTCTCGGCCCAAGACTGCAGTAATCAGTGAACCTGCAGTTAGAGCGGTGGGCTGGTGGCCTGCTGCAAGCATGCGGCGGAAGAAGTGTTCTGCACGCTCCGGCACCCCCGCGCGCCCCGCAGCGTCAAGCAACGTGTGGTACATCTGCAGCGTCGGCGTCGTCTGGCTGCTTACAAGCCATTGTTCTGCGCCGGCAACGTTCGATGACTTGGCGAAAGCATTTAGCACTGAATTACTGGCAGCATCGAAATCTGCCTGACAAGTTGCCTGACAGTCGTGCTGCATCTGTTTCAAAAGGTCAAGTGCCTTGTCAACGTCGCCACTGCGGCCACATGCTGCGATGGCGGCAACGAAGCAGACCGAATCAGCGGCAATTCGCTTGACTTGCATCTCCTTCAGGCAACTCACTGCCTCGGCGGCATTGCTCTGGCTTGCGCACGCTTTGAGCACTCCAGCATAACTCCAGCAATCTGCCATAGCTTCTCCCAGCTGGTGCAGCCAGTACTTTGCACGCTCCACATCACCGACATTTGCAGCAGCATCGATCATCATGTTGACCTTCAGCCGGAAATCTTCATCACGCAGAGGTGCGGAATTGGCAGTGCGCAGACTATGCAAAAACTCATGCCAAGCCTTCTCTGACTCCTTGGGGAGGCCGCCTTTGGCGGCTGCTTTCATTATCTTGCCAAATGTACGATGCGTCGGGACAACCTGTGAGCAGACCATCTGGCGCAAGTGTGCCCGAGCTCCTTCATGGTCACCAGCACACGCATATGCTTTGAGCATCGTGTTCCATAAGAATGCTGATTTTGAAAGGCGAGTGCCCAGAAGGTGCTTGAAATATTTGGTTGTCGCCCGGACGTCGCCACGCGCAGCTGCCGTATCCATCTCATTGATTGCCCGAGCATCCGGCATCGTGATTGTGGCTGGAGGGGATGGTCGTGCTTTATGAAATGAGCGGTTCACCCCAGAGCATCTTGGCAAGACCAGGTCAGCCAATGGGAGGTGTCGGCGGCATGGCCACATGGCATGTCCCGCAGTTAGAGCAACAACAGTTTGGAGGTCAATTCCTTGCAGATGGAGTTCCGAATAGTGTGCCGCTTGCACCTGAATCCACTGCTGCGCACACCGACTTCAGGGAGCATCCCAAGAGCTTCAAAGGCTCCTCGCAAAGGCCCTGAGCTTAGGGCTTAGGGTGCAGGGGATGGGGTGGGAAGGCAGCATCCTGCAACTCAACCTACCTTAAAACCATCCTCAACCTACCCACAAGCCATAAGATGCCCGAGGGACCTCCCTAAGTTGCGCTTGGAGGTCAGCTCAGGCCTTGCTGTGTCGCTGCCAGCGGCCGCGGCGGTTGCTGATGTACAGCACCTGAAACCTGAGCAATGCGAGCCCAGGATCTAACCCATGCCTGATCATTTCCTGCAAGGCACGCCGATCCTTGGAAACTGGTATGCATGCTGAAGACGGCACACACTCTTTTCAACTCCAGCAAATGGGCGTTGACAGCGTCTCGACGTTGACATGATCGCACAGACTCGCCGTCTGCGGGGACAGTTCAGCAGAAAGCTGCATACACTAGCGGAAGCGCCCTTTGGCACGCAGCTGCAGGCACTTTGGCAGCAAAGCCCCAAAAGTTCGCGCTGTCTCCTCCTACGCCTCGGAGCGAGCCTCGGAGAGTCGGAGGGTCTTGACTCCTTGACGTGGATCAACAGTTGGCAGGTCCACGACCTTACTTTGCCGGTCACACGTACATCAGAGCACGTTGTCACGCGACCAAGTGCAAAAAAAACAACTGCCTCAAAGACCCTGGCTCGACGGGTACGGACACCGTTCGAGCGGTCCCAGGTTCTCTCCCTGGACCTGATGCAAGAACAGATCTAGAGCGGAAAAACAAAAAGTGAGAAACGGCAAGCAGCAAAATCAGGATAAAAGCTACAGAGTCGCTACAGTTCTCGTATTTGGGGGTGCCGCGGAGGCACCTTTGCGCCATGCCTATTCAGCACGTCACAGATCTTCTCGTAGTCCCTTGGATCCGAAGCATCAAAGCGCTCTTATCGTAGTGTTGAAGTGAGAATGACCACGACGATTTCTAAGCAAACATGCGGGCGAGCATCTCATATTTATTGCCAATGTAGGAAAGCCCACAAACGCTCCAATCATACGGTGTTGCTCTGCCCTCGTCGCAGCTTGTCAGATCCGCGTCGAAGTCCGCAAGAAGCTCGACTACCTCTGCAGGGCAAGATTAATGATTTTAGGTTTTGATGTTCCATTTCGCCGGCCGCCGACCGACAGGCAATTGGAACAAGCAAACCAGGATCTGATCTCCTTCCTAGGTTTTCCGGCCCTTCCATCCCGCACACCCCAACAGGAATCCAATGGGTTCCTGGCCAAGCTGAAAATAGCGCCGGTGCTCACGGCCAACAGCCGCCACAAACCACGACAGCGCATCCCTAAAAGACAGCTGCAACAGCAACAGCTGTAACCGGGACCACGCACCCAAACGCAAAACAGCGAAATCGGGCGACACTCACGGGTCCCCACTATGCCCGGCATGCAACCTGCAGGACGGCATTATGGCACGGTTGCACAAACAGTCAGGCAGAAGGCCCCTCCAGCTGCACCGTCGGTTTCCGCGGCCCACAGGAGTCCGGAACAGCAGACCCGGGGAACTCCTAAAGAAAGCCTCTACAGGACTTAGGACTCGCTTAGGACCCCTAAAGCGAGAAGGCTCGTGCACAAGTGCTTACACTTCCATATCACGGCGCCTTCAGACGCCCCTTCTGGCACGCAAGGCTGACGGGAGTCTGCCAATTCTTGTCTCGGGCATTGATGTCCTACAGGGGAATGAGAGACCATCTGCGGAATGGGAAGTGTGAAGGCACATGAAAGCGTTGTCCCTGTGCAACCTTCAGTTGCTGAGCAGCAGACAGCCCGCAGCTCCAGCAGCAACTCAACCACGGCCACGTGGCCTTCTTTGGCTGCGAGATGCAGCGGCTGCGCGCCCAACCTGGCGACGAGTGGTCCGTGTGTTGCAGAATGTTGCAGGGCTGCAGGACCATGCGACGCGTTTACGACGCTGTTTTGTTCTGCCGCCCTCTTTACCAGGAGCTTCTCGGGTTCAGGATCATGTTTCTGGGACGGCGGCACTCACTGCTTAGGGTGCTTTGGGAGCTCTTAGCTTTAGGTTGCGACTAGATTTCGGGCGTAGGGTTGCTAGGAGGCCTCGGTGATTGGGGCCAACACTCTTGGAGTTCACAGTTGAAGACAATTGAAGTGTTTGTCTTGGGATGCTAGGGTTTTGTGCCTTGGGGCCAGGGGCAAGTTTTGCTTGAGGCTTAAGGCTTCGGGCTTAGGGTGCAGAGGAGCCTGTGGCTTGGGGTTTAAGTCGATGTTGGGCTTGCTTGAGGGTTTTAAAGGACATCCTGCGATAACTTTGCTCTTTGTCTGTTTGAGCCTTTAGGCTTGCCGGAGGTCCTAGAGTTGTAGACGTTCAGGGTGCTCAAAAAGGGTTTGGAGTGACGAGGACCAGCCGACAGAGCAAGATGTTCCAACAAAAAATAGGAGTGTGGGCCTCGAAGTGGCGTGATGAATGTTTGCCGCATGCTCGATGAGCATCTTCAGGACTCCTTAGGATTTGGAGTCTTCGAGCTGCAACCAGGGACAATTGAAAGCAGAGTCTGAACGAAGCTCTTTATGAAGTCAAGGGGGCCAAGATTGCCGCTGGAGGCAGCCGTATGTATGGGCAGCCATCCGCCAGCTGGTCCAGGCTCATGCACACTTGCTCCTTCTTCGTGGAATCTGATATGGACTTCTGCCTCAACGTAATGACATGAACAAGAGGCCCCTAGATCTCCTGCTCTCAGGGCAGCAGCAACGGGCTCGAGGGCACCATAAGACACCGCTACACGCAACTCCTGGCACCAAGCACATGCACTTGAGAACACAGCTGCCTGCTAAGTAGCTATCGTGAATGCGAGTGAAGCACTTCATGTAAGCTGGGCTGCATTGAGACGGTAAGCGAAAGACAACGGGGCCTCCTGTGGGTTCATGGCTCGCGCGTCGCCATCGGCAGCAACATGTCAAGATCAATCAAAACTGTGCCACTATGCTGTCCTAGCACAAGGGCTCTGTACTGAAACGTGCCAGGGTCTTTTACTCTCTCTCTTTCTCTCTCTCTCGCTGTCTGTATTCATCGTCGCCGCCTGTGCCGCTACAAGTTTCTCTCAGCTTGCCAGAAGCACATCATACAAAAAGTACACAATGCGCCGTCGTCATCTGCTATCGGATGCCAGGAGAAGCCTTCCTTTACAGCCAACACCTGTGGCCACTTCACCGTAGACTTAAAGAAGCCTTGTCAAACCTCCCACAATCTCCCACAAACGGCTTGTGGTGACGAAGCAATCCTGAGCCCCTTGCTGTGGCTTTGGATCCGGCCAGCCGACGCGGATCGTCACCTCTCAGGCTGTCTCAGACTCCCAGAGAGCGGAGCTTTGTGCCATAATGAACCATAATGAAGCTCTTCTGGCGCTTCATGGCACTTCATGGCGATTCATGGCACTTCGCACACAGTTCGCATCACGCAATGAGCTCGTACTTAGCACAGGCCTTCTTTGGATCGGTCGGGTTCACAGTCACAGCATGACCTGAACCGCAAATTTTTCAGCGATTGTCAGAGCCAAACAGCAGAGCAACCAGCGCCAACCTGAAATGTACTCGTTCGGGGCTGAATTGTGGTTGTCGAGTCTGTCTGCCAAGTCATACCGACCCTGGCGTCAGCGTCTGCTCATCGAGAACTTGCAACACTGAACTAAAAGTTGAAGCCATGAACAGGTTCTCGCACCCGAAGGACGGAAAGGCGTTCAGCGTTGCAAACCTGAGCAGGCGTGTGATACCGGAGCCTGCCTCTGCTCAACTCAGATTGCCGCTGTCGGAAACAAGATCGTGGCAATCTCAGATTGTCCAGGAGCACACGCGAAGTTTGCTCCTGAGTGTCACACCACATCGGATTCGAAAGTATGCCAAAAGGCAGGAAGCTGGGCAAAAGGCCCAATGTAATCAGATCGCCATCTGACAGAGCAGAGGAAGCCTGTCAACTCACTTGCCCTGTTCTTCCATTGGAGATGCGCGCTCTGATCCCCTAAATCCGCCCCTGAACCCTAAACCCTAACAACTCAAAGCTTATGCCAACCTCGAACTCCAGTTCTGTCGTTGACTCGTCAAGCACCGTGACCGCCTGAACGAAAGCAACTGACATGGCTTAGGGTTTAGGCAGCGTGAAAACCAACCAAGACATCACTCCGAAGGCAGACCGAAATGCTTGACCGAAAGACAAGCAAGAATGGTGTTTGAAAAGAGCTGTTTCAATGATGTAGTCTATAGAGTCATTGCTCGTTGTACGCCGTGTGATCAGCGGTAGGACAACCGATGATCTATGCCGTGAGTAGTTCCCGTGTGGGAAATCATATAAACCATTTTACAAAAGCTAATGTACTAACAAGGTGATAATGCTTTGGGGTCGACCTATGGTAGCTCATGTGGGTTTCAACGGACCTTCCAACAATCTAGCATGTTTTATCAAAGAATTCGCCAAGAACGAACATCACACAGGGCACCCAACTGTGCAAAACGCAGCGAGTGCCTTGATGTCGTTTGTTCGGCAGTCCTCATTCTGGATGTCGCACATGTACGAGTCTGCTGCCAGGACGCCAACCTAGCAAGAGCTGAGTACTGACGGC